TCATAATCTTGAAAAAAAGCATATCATAAAAAGCCAAGCTTCAAACTGTACAAAATCAGAGCCTTCTCTCTTCCTCCACAGGTGAAGAAATCCATGTTAAAAAAGTCCGGATAAAAGGGTTTTTATAAGAGAGAAGTCATTGTTGATGCAGACATGATTCATGAGTAGATACGATCGCATAAACTGTACACAACACTGACTGGCTTTTTCGCTGCGCCTTTCCAGAAAACTTTCTCAATCTTACCATTCGAGAGAGGACGTGGAACAACGGTTTCTTGGCAGCTCTGTTGCAGTAGGACGTCTAGTTCACCACTAGCTGCTCCAATTAGTCCTGCAATTTTTGATTCAAGAAAAGGTTTAATTTTTTAAGTATGCGGTTACACAAAGAAAGAAACCGAGGGCTTTTGGGTACTGTCTTTACCTAGAAACAGAGGCGATGGTTTTCCGGGTCTTGATTTGTACTCGGGATGGAACTGAGCTCCAACGTAAAACGGATGGTTAGGCAGCTCAACGATCTGCATTATCAAATGTAAAGAATTATAACCAAGAAGATGAAAATTATCATGTGGTGTTCGGGGTTTATCTATCGGGTTTTACCTCCATTCGCTGACCAGTCTCATCCTTTCCAGTGAATGTGAGTCCAGAGCTCTCGAAACGTGGAACCATAGCTGGATTCACCTGTAAGAGAACATCTTGTTTTAGTTAAAGCTGTTAAAGAGAGCATCTTGTACAATCTGTAAGCTGAATACCTCATATCTGTGTCGGTGTCTTTCATCGACAAAACTTCTGTTACCATATCTGAAACATTCAGAAGAATTAGACATTGGTTTAGCTCTAACAACCATTAAGTTGAAACTTTTTAGAGTGGAAAAAGATCTCGTGCTTACAGTTTTGCTGATTTGGAGTCCTTAGTTTGAAAATAAGTTCTTCTTGAGCCTAACCTCATAGTGCCTCCCATCTGCGTTTTTGAACCCTGCTTCAAACAAAATTTACACGAAATCCCGAACTGAGTAGAGTGAAGTGATTGAAACTTAAACAGAAAATGAGGAAGGGAACAAACCTCAGGCATGAAAATAACACAAGGGTGTTTGGTGTTGGGATCAAGTTCAGTGCTGTTTGCATCTGGCAAACCGAGTACGGTTCTTGCAAACTCGATCACAGCGAGTTGCATCCCTAGACAGATACCAAGGTATGGAACTCTGTTTTCTCTGGCGTATTTGGCTGCCAGAATCTTTCCTTCAATACCTCTATTGCCAAAACCTCCCGGAACAAGAATACCATTAGCACCCTGAAGACAAATTACATAGAGCTGATCAACGGAAAGTTCATCTCGACACAAGAAATCAGGATTCATTTAATGGGAATTAAAGAATGTTCAGACCTTGAGTAACTTCCATGCGGCCTTATATGCATCCGGATTCTGCAGAGAGGAAAGATTTGGCTTCAGTTTATAAGGTTTCATAACTTGTATTAAGTAGTGGAGCTTAGAGTAAAGTAAAACATACCTCCTTTTTCGCCCCTTGTTCAAGATCACTAGCTGAAATCCAATCTATGACAAGTTTCTTGCCCCTAGCCACAGAAGCGTGCAAGAGAGCCTGCTCATCAAACACAAGAATTCCTTTATCAGAGATTACAAATGTTGAACACTTGAGGTTCTTATAGACGATGGCTTGCGAGGAGTTGTTGGAATTAATGTATCTTGCAACGGTATACCTTGTGAATGGAAAGATATGAATCCAAGAGCTCAGTGTACTTCCCAACCACAGCGATTCTTACCTGAAAACCCAAAACATTATGAAGTCAGTCTTTAGCTGAAAACCAGTGAGATAAACTAAGCCTGAAAAATGACATGGTAGAACCAGGAACACACCGGAACATGTAACGTGTCGCACATTTTAGCCATCAAAGACCATTCCTCTAATGCAGGCTCCTTCGCAACTCTGTATATCAAACAATCAGCATTTAAATGAATGAACCAATCTATTCGTGAATAAGAGTATGAGTAAGCGAGACACACCCTCGAAGGTTCAAGACACGCAAAATCGCCTCGTGTGCCTTTTGTTCCTGCTCAAACAAGTTAAAATGAAAAGACATTGGTGATAAGAATAACCTGTTTACTGAAATTTTGAAACTATGGTAGAATGAGAAAGCTACTCACTTTGAGAAGCAATGGAATGTGCCAAATGTTGGGACAATCGTAGAGAGTGACAACATTTTCCATCTGCAAATGCATTTATATCTTTATCAAACAATGTTCATATATACAAAGAGAAATATCAAGTCTTGTCTCGCAGATACTAAATACCGGGACATGGCAAAACTGAGAGAGTTTGGCCTTCACACTATCTTCAAGTGGCTACAAAATCAAATTTCGAAGTAAGAACTTAGAGCCAAGACTGGCGAACAAACGTTACCAAAAACAAAACAAATAACTTGACAAGAGATGAAACCTTTGTGCTTCGGCAAGCCAAGATATTAGGGCTCAAGCCAAGGCCTCTTAAATCTCGAACGCTATGTTGTGTTGGTTTAGTCTTCTGAAAGAAACTAGACGTTGTAAGCACAAAAACTCCAAGGAAAACCAAACAGATTAAACAGAATATTAGAAACTTGCCTGTTCACCAACAACATTCAACACAGGCACAAGACTGACATGGATCAAGCAAAAGTTTTCAGAGCCTGAAAAAAAATTACAAAAGAAAAACACATAACTCAATCTTGCCATCTTAAGTAAACTTCCACTGTTATACCTCAATAAACACATACACACAAACAATAACTTACCAACACGATACGAGAACTGCCCAAGAGCTTCAATAAAAGGCATAGACTCTATATCTCCTGCAAAATCCAAAGAGTATCTCCATGTTCTTAAACTAACTATACAAAATCTGACACTAAGTTAAAACTCTCCATGTAGAGAATTAAACTAAATACCTATTGTTCCTCCAAGTTCTATGACACAAACATCAGCAGGGCCTGACTGTCCATCAACTGGAATCTTAGCCGCACGCTCAATCCAATCTTGGATTGCATTAGTGATATGAGGAACAACCTACAAAAATCCACAGATCCTCTCTTTCAGGGGAATTTCATCAAACACATGGTCTACATATATCAGCTTCTTGTGTTTCTCTTATTACCTGAACAGTCTTCCCAAGATAATCTCCTCTTCTCTCTTTCTCAAGCACATGCTGTTATTCACAAATTGCAAGTTCAATAACCAAAATCAAACATGTTTGCCTTACCATCTCC